AGTTCCAGTCCTCTCTCAGCCATCCAGATTCCAATTCTCCCAATTGCCCATTCTATACGTTCCTCGATGTTCTCTCCGTCTTTTCCACGTACTACCAGCGCGAGATCGTCAGCATATCCAATGATTGATACTCCATTCGGCGTTTCAATCCTCAGAACGTCGTCGTAGTATAAATTCCACAACGTTGGTCCAAGAACCGATCCTTGTGGGACTCCGCATGTCATAGTCATTTCTTGGTTTTCGCCTACCAGTATCGTTCTTTCTTCCAGATAGCTGCAGATTATCTTCGTCAGATAGTGGGGAATATTCCTTTTCTTCAATTCGCTGACAATTCCAGTCCACGGTGCCGAGTTGAAAGCATTTTTGACGTCTAGCGTTACCATGGCGACATATTCTTTCGAGTTTCTTTGGACGTCGTATACAAAATTCTGTACAGCTTGTATAGCATCCATCGTTGAGAGTCCTTTTCTGAAACCGAATTGGGTACGTGCAAAACCATTTTTCTCCTCAATTTCCTTGGTCAGTCTGTTGTTGATGATCTGTTCGTAAAATTTTGCTATCACATTCAATAGGCACAATGGTCGATAAGATTTGGTTCCACCTGCCTTTGTCGGCTTTTCAAGCAGGGTTAGTCTGCCTACTTTCCATGTCTTTGGGAATACTCCATCTTTGATGAGCTTGTTTACTGTTCTCAAGGTGTCAAGGTAAGTAAGTTCGTTTAGCGTTACTTCGTCGTGTGAATATCACCCCAATGGCGTTTGTCTGGGAAAATATCACACCCTACACTCTTCCTCGTCTTCAGGGGGTTGAAATGTGTAAATAGTAAAATATTGTTTTTTACGATCGCAGCGCCATCTTGTGAAAATAAAAAAGAAGTTCCCGAACAATGCTCTTCCAGAATCTGCAATAAAAAATAGGGGTTTCCATTGAAGATTTCAATGTTACCTCCATTTTCCACTTCCCTGGGGGTCAGGGGGTGAAACTTGTTTCATAACCAGATGTCCCCCTCCAAACCATACAACTTTTATTCGGCATTTTTTTTTGTCAGATGCATACATTTCGAGAAATTTCCAAATAAAGATTAAAATGGGACACCCGGTATATAATACATTCAAATTATGATAATCGATGAATTATCATACTCGGCCTTCGGCCTGATACTTGTATCGTACATATCTATTGTTATTTTTTCGTTTACTTACACTTTGTTCAAGGTTTTTTCTGTGACGGAAAAAAGTTTCATCGCTGTTGACAGGTTATAAAATGTCACTTTCCACAAATTACTTTTTTTCTACGGGAAAAAAGTGACTACTTTTTTCCTGGATATATATCACATAATATATAAACACTGTTGATGGCGTTTGTTGTGCTATAGTTCCGAAAAATAAGCCCATAACATCTTCTCCGAGAAAGAACTGCAAGTCCTTTTATCTTCAATTCCACTTCGTGGTTAAGTAAAAATTACTAAACAACCACTAAGTTCGCAATTTTTCATAATCAAATCACAGAATTAGACTGTTAGTCCAATAAATGAAGGAGGAAAAAAAGGCAAAGTTAACGTTAATTACGCACTATTTTCATCTTCCGGTTGGAAGTAGCTTTTGGTACCTCATTAAACATGAGACAAAGTTTGACTGGAAAACGCGTGCGATGGCGGAGAAAATGGCCCCAAAAGACCAGGAAAATAGGTTTTCAGCCTATATCTCCTAAAATATGGCAGTTAGAGATTTTCGGTTCAGATAAAAATTGAGGTTCAGTTAATTTTCGACAAAAATGGTCCTTATCATTTTTCTCGAAAATTTGCCCGGTTTCGAGGAAAACGGCACGAAGCGCACCTCGAATAATGAGCTTCTGTTGTATGCCGGAGACTCGGCCGGAGAGCACAGTCCGTGTATTTACACATCGGCGGGGGGACAAATTATTCAATAACTTTGTTAAAAATGCATATTTTCTCATGATTCAAAGTTCATGTGAAAGAGGAATTCTGCTGCTATCATACCCTGCGTGGCCGCATGGTTTGTGGAAGACGACCCGAGCGCCACGTAGTGCACACACGCGGCGAACGACGGAGGAACGAAAGTAATAAATTATAGCGTGTACATTTAGATATACTGGTTTTTTCCCGGGATATCAAAGGTATGACTTATATACATCGATGGAAAGCTAAGAATTCCCCCGTTACACTAGTTAGGGTGTTAAAATGTTAGAAATAAATAGCACGGAGACAAAAAACACCGACAAAAAAAGTGCGTTTTTTCCTTGACCCCGCTTTTTCTAATTTTATTGAAAAATGGACGACTTCGTCTAACAAAGTAATTGCACAATCGAAAAGTAGACCTTCTTAGCTTTCAAATGATGTATCATAGAAACCAATCGGATCATGTATAAATTTTTAATTGATGGTTGTTCACAAAATTTCCCCGCGCTCCAAAAACAGCGAAAAATTGGGATTCAATAAACAAAGATTAAATGAAAATTAAAAAAAATTAGGGTATATAAATTTCAGGGATGACGAACGACCTTATGAGGACCCATAATCAAGAGAATTTTGAGTAAATTAGTGCAATACAAAAAAAAATAGGAACAAATTCCTGGCGAGGTCAAAATTGACCGGGAGCAGAAAGTTTGACCCATGTTCCGATATGGCCAAAAGAGTCAAGAGTACAAGAGTGACTCAATTCACAGGGTATGATAGCAGCAGAATTCATCTTTCACATGAACTTTGAATCATGAGAAAATATGCATTTTCAACAAAGTTATTGAATAATTTGTCCCCCCGCCGATGTGTAAATACACGGACTGTGCTCTCCGGCATACAACACAAAAGCTCATTATTCGAGGTGCGCTTCGTGCCGTTTTTCTCGAAACCGGGCAAATTTTCGAGAAAAATGATAAGGACCATTTTTGTAGAAAATTAACTGAATTTCAATTTTTATCTGAACCGAAAATCTCTAACTGCCATATTTTAGGAGATATTGGCTGAAAACCTATCTTTCTGGTCTTTTGGGGCCATTTCCTCCGCCATCGCACGCGTTTTCCAGTCAAACTTTGTCTCAAGTTTAATGAGGTACCAAAAGCTACTTCCAACCGGAAGATGAAAATAGTGCGTAATTAATGTTAACTTTATTCCTTTATTTATTGGACTATGTCAGGTATTTGATTACTTTAAAAGAATAAGGAAAATGCCTGCAAAGCAGGTGTAATTCCTGTTAAAAATTTCAAATTTCACATCGATGAATTCCTGATTTTAATATAATGTAATATATCTTCTCAATATTGATCGATATCGATCGTCCGTTTTCCTGTCACAGAAAAAAATAGTGTATTCTACATGGGAAAAATCGTGAAAAATATTAGATTTTAGCGCACGGTTTTTTGTCTCCCTCCGCTTCCTGCTGAAATCTACAACATTTTCCCCTTGTATAATAAATAACGATTGTTCAAAATGCCTTGCTGCTTCACAACACATTCTGGCTTGTCTATTATTGAAAATATTCCTCTACGAAGAGTATCTTGGTCCAGGGTTGCGACGATTTAAATCAAATGATTTAAATCAAATGATTTAAATCAAAGTAGATAACTCATCAGGAAATTCAATAAAAGAACGTTTATTAAAAACTAAGTGTTTACATTCATTAAGTAAGTGCCACTGTGAACAAAAACGTTACTCAGGCTAACCAATAAAAAACAAAAAATATGTGTTTAGGAAGTCAGTTGTAATCTTGTTGCAATACTAATACAGGAAAACTAATTTAGCGGCTTTTTCGGTTCCCAAGCTATTTCGAAATTTGGAATTTACCAAACCAAATGTCTAAAACACTCTTTCGACAGATGCTGAAGATAACTGTTTTATTTAATGGTGGGCAGTACTTTTTGAATAGCATCGACATTCTGTTGGGATTTCCACCAATTTAAAGCTTTTGAAGTTTTGAGAATTTCTTCATCAAACATTATAAAGACGAACAGGAAAGCCGCGGCACGCTGCCGAAATTTTTATGTCAACACAAGTTTTTTTTATGTCGCCGAGAAGATTTTTTATCGGAAAAACTAGACAACGAATATTTTTGGGCAAATAAAGAAAACTAATGTAAATAAGTGATATAAAATTCATTATTTTCATATTTAAAGAAAAAATAAGTATAAATCAAAGAAATCTGTATACCTTAATGAAATGAAATCGGATTTTTTATTTTTATCGAAATGATGATGATATTTTGAATGATATTTTGAATTAGCTCATCTCTGATTTTAGTTTATTTGTATACACTAGATCGACTTTTCATGGGTCCCCAAAGATAATAGTGGTCAGGTGACATCGGTGGCCAAATAATTGGACCACCAAAGGTGGATATGTCTATTTTCATCATGGGACCACCTCTTGCAATCCACTGGTGAGCAAAATTGTTAATTGCTCATAACCATTGAGTTTCAGACAAAATGAGTATATAGATATAAAAAATTCCAAATTAACCAATCTTCTACTTGATTTCAGGAAATAAAATGTGTTATTGAAGTACAACGTGAGTACATAAAGTGTCCAGTGATGGAAAAAGGACAAGTAGTTGTAAATGAATATCCTAGATGGGTTGCAAAGAAGGTGAAATTTCGCAATTTTTCATAGAATATCTCGATAAATAGCAGTTTGTTCACATTACCATTGTGAAATTCGTGTTTTTAAGACGAATATACGTAAGTACCACAAAATTTTCGGAAAACAAAACCATCGTGTGATAAGTGCATTTTTACCAAGTGAGTGTGTGGTGAAAAAAATTCAATACTTATACCTAAACCTTGGTTAGTAAAGAATATTATTTATTTTATCAATGGAAGCTCTTGATGGAATATAGCGGAATACCGTCTAATTTAGGGACAACCCTGTACACCAGACAAAATTCAAACTCATTGTCCTGCTTTTCCAAGAAAAAAAAGAAGTAGTCTGGCAACAGCGCCACAGCGAAATCTGGAATTCCCTGATTTCCAGCACCATCCTATCAACCTACCTTCGATTTACTCATGATGGTTTTCTCCCAGTCTTTTTGGAGTTCGAATTGATGATCAATAGATGAACATTAGGTAAATTACACTAAATATAGTGGACAAATATTTCGCTTAAAAAATATGGATGAAACAGACCGACGACCGACACTCGACACTGACATTAATGACATTCGACATTCCCTGAATCCACAGTGTTGCCAGATGAAAATTGAAAATTTGTCGGAGCAGTAGATGGGTGACGAAAAAACAGTACATCATCAAAACTGAACAGTAGATTTCTATAATCATCACAATTTGCTGTTATAATTGAAAAAAACATAGAAACCTATATAAAAACACAATTTTTGGCTTTTATATCTATTAAAAATCAAACAAAGAATAGCAACAAATAATGAAATAAATATTTTTTTGTAAAATTCGGAAATAGTAGTTCATATTTATAAATCAGACTGAATCTGATGATTCCAGTGTACTGAATACTTACTATAGTAAGAAGATGTATGATATGATGCCCCAATAATTCTTCATTGTTACAGCATATTAGATAGGTAGTTATATTATTCAGACCATTGCCTTGTAGATAAATTATTTTCGATAAAGAGAAATCCTACAATGCTGACTGTACTTAACCCATGACGCTGCTTTGACTTCAGCAAATTTGCTTGATTAAATAATCTTTCTCTGGTTTCTGAAGAATGTGGCAAGTTGGAGAATACTATTGAATTGTCTCCAAAACAATACTTTTCAACTGCAAACCACACCTTATCAACTCTGAACCCTAATTTCTACGACCGCTTGTGTGAAATTTTTCCATTGTCCAGTTTTACTTTTGGTTTAACCCATGGACGTTTTAACCATTGTTTAACGATAACGAACAAAACAGTAGGTTTTATGCCTAAAACAGGAGAACAATAGAACGGAGACAAAAACAGTAAATCTACTGTCAAAACATTAGGTCTGGCAACGCTGCTGACCTGACACATCAGGGCTGTTCCTGACCGAAAATATATAGTACTAGATCGCATTTCGTACTAGAACTGGGAATTTAGTATTGAATTTCAATTTTCTTCAAATTTGCCGCCCCTGATGTTTTTTTTCACCAATTCAAGTCGCCAAAAAACAAATAATATAAGTGGAATAATTTCACCACATGAAAACATCGAAATGCCAAATGGAATTCAGCAATTGTACATAATTCATATATTTTCAAAATGGAAGAAATATGTACCAAACTCCAATGAACTCAAGGTGTTTATATTGAGTTCATTGCCAAACTCATGAGAAAAATAAACTGGTATATGAGGGCTAAGATTATTATTCATTGTGTGTTTGTTTATAGTGTGTGTGAAACGTGAGGTCAGGATTGGTAAAACTGATAAATAAACTTCTTATTTTCGTGTCATTTGGCATCTTATTTCTACGATATCTTTTCTTTTCCGTCAAGGTAAGAATTGATCGTAAAGTTTCACATTGAGTGAAAAAACGTAAGTTGGCTCAAGTCTTTCGATAACTTGAGTTTTCTATTCCTTCAAATATTGTACATCATTTTTTTCGAAAATTTTCAATGAAACAGGCGGCTATCCGGCTAAATTTTGGAATTTTTGACTTTGACACTGACCTTACGTTTATTAGCGACAACTGGGTGAGGGTGAGTGAAAATAATAGTCATTCATTTTCATCCACTTGGTGAACCCAAAGATCTCATTTAGTACTAGATTAAATCAAAAAGTACTTTGATACTGAACATATTCGAATAGTACTAGATCTAGTAAAGAACTTCACTAATAAATAAATAATCAATTTTACAGGCAGACAAATTGGTGGACATGAGCTTTTATACAAGTTTGAAATGTAATTTTCTTCGGGGCACACAATACCTAAATTACATTTTTGGATGAAGCCAAAGACGGAACAAAATTGATATACCTCATACCACAGTTGAAAGAATATTGTATATATTCTCTCAACTGTGCTCATACTTTGCATTCGCTTCAATACCGACATATATATTTCAGTTTATCGTTTATTAATTACACTTCATCAGTAATAACCTATTTACCTGAATGGTAAACGATCTAAAAACTATACACCTATAAATTCTCAAGCCATGAAATATTATCAATTATCATTATCAAATGAACAAAGCAATAAAAACTCACCTGATAAAAATCACAAAATTTCAATTTTACAAACACAAATTTCCTACGCAACGTCTGGAGATATGCACAAAAGGCACCAACAACAACCTACAGAGCATACAGGAATAGGATTTATCGGAATAATTATGATTAGATTAGGTAGCCAGTGACCAGTGTACTGTGTAGTGTCACTGTCACAGTCACAGACCACGTATTATATTATTAGTTTGTACTTTGTAGCATTGTAGCGTACAGGTAGTGACGACAGTGACGTAGTCCCCCCCACACTCATTATGATTGAACCCGGGGAACTACACAGTTACACACGCAGTGTTGCCAACCCGAAAATTACGAATGTCGCTACCGCAACGTCACAACAAAAATTCTGCTACGCCCCCGCCACGGTCGTCTTTTATATACTAGAGTCTAGGGCAAGCACCTTCTGAGGAGGCGAATTTACACGAGCGCCGACAGTGGACAAATTCTTCGAAGTGGGAAAAACGACCGATATTCATTGGTATTACTTGTGTAATTAGATCTATATGGTATTACTCATATTATTATTTTTTGCCTATAATAAATATGGAACATTTCATAACACATCGCACACATCCAACACACCTCATCTTCACATCATCTAATCTGATGTGTGTGATACTGATCAACATATTTTTTGTCATTCAAAATCTTCTGCTCTGGAATAATTTTTTACAAATTTCCTGAATTTGTGCTCACTTTTTCTTCACATCATCTAATTACAGGGTGGCTATCAGAACATTATTTTTTTTCAAATGAAGTGATCCGTATTTTTTTCCATTTTATTCGATGAAGCCCGTCAATCAGAATTCAAATATACTTTACGAACTTAACGACAATTTTTTTCAACCACCTGTTTGACCGGAAGTGACCCTAAGTTTTTTTTTAATGTCACCCTGTACATTTCTTCAGTCTATCTTATTCGCCTTGAAATTCTCTATCCAACCATGTATCACAAAGTGGCATTTATTTCTTGATTCGCTGTTGAATTGCTTTTTATTCAAAATGTATAAGTTGGCTGTGACATGAATTCGATGATATATCGACACTTGGTAGGCTTTGAAATTTAATTATATTTCGCAGTCTCGTCTCAGATTATAAACACCCTGTAGTCCTAGCGCGCTATACCTTGCCTACGACGTTTAAAGAAATACAAGTTTTTTGTTTATTAGTCACCGGTATTTCTTTATCACTTCCCGAACTTGATTTATCTTCATTCTAGTTCGTCGTACCGCGCCTATAAGACGTTATTTTCGGTTATTTTAAAAATAAGTGAAAACGTGAAAACAGTGAAAAATATTCGAGTGCTTTAAGAATATGGGGAATAATAAAAGACACAGGAATGATAAACTGGACAAATTCCAGCGGAAACTTAGAAAAATTCAAAAAGAGTTGGAATCAATTCGCCAAAGTAAGTTCAATATATTAATTACGTATTCCTCAAATAGTTACGTCAATTTATTATGTCTTAATCAAAATATATATGTATATATATATTTAAATAGACTTAGAACAAGATGATTCAAGGCGGAAGATCGCAAGACATTAGTTTTTGCAATTCAATAAAAAACGGCTGATACATTTCATGCCGAAATTTAGTTGGTTCTCGTTTCATATGGAAATACACATGTATTTACTAGAAACGCTAACAAACAAGGTACCTAACTACACACATGTGCTATGTTATACCTTTACCAACAAAACGAAGAAAATAAGGGCTGAAACATTTCATGCCCACAATAATCGTGCACATGCACAACTGAGTTCATTAAACAAATTTTAATGACGTCACCCGTCTTCCATTGTACAGGGTGATCGGAAGATATTACGAATATACTAATACCTAAATACCTAAATGTATTATGTGAATAGATTTTCATGCTTGGTTCCTCACACAGGTTCGAGTACAAGTTCAAGTGAATCTGAGAGCGATTACGATTCTCAAGTTAGTTATCAGGAAGTACTTTCTCCTGTTCCTGACGAGTTGCAACCAATAATGGAACAACCGGTGGTGGACGCCCTAGAGATGTTAGGAGTGGACCCGTTGGCTACTAGGCCAACAGGCCCGGATGTGCATGAGCAAATTGCAAGCAGATGGACCATATTTCTGCAGAAGGGTATAGAGAAGGTAGATCGAAAAGAGCTAACCGAGAAATATCCACCTCCTAACAACGTGCCAGCCCTGAATCCACCCAAGATGAACCCCGAAATTCAAGGATGCTTAACAGAAAACCTAAACAAGCAGGACAGCTTCCTGACAAAAGTACAGGAACAACTGAGTGCCGCGATATGCGCAGTAGCCATTCCGCTCAACACTTTTTTGTGTACTAATCCACATCTTCTGCACTTAGCAAACGCAGCTAAACTTTTGGCAGATGTTCATCATACAATCTCCTCGCATCGACGATATGGCGTATCCGGGACCCTGGATCACTCGGTCAAGAAAACAGTCATGGACAGGCCAATTGATGAGTGGCTTTTTGGGAGCAACCTCGGCGATAATGTCGAAAGTACCAAGGAAATTCAAAAGGCATCGGCTGATTTGAAATTGAAACGAATCAACCGGCCAACTTATCGTCCGAATTCGATACAGAGCAACCAACCCACAACGTCATCAGCAACTCCTTTAAACTTCAAGCGCCAATCGAGCAAATTTCGACGCAAAAAAGAGGAGGGAGGCAGGAAGGACAGGCCAGTCCAGCAACAGCGATGGGGAGGGGAGAAGAGGAAAGAACCACCACGCAGGAGAACGTAGAGGTAACCTATGCCGGTAGATTGAAAAAATATTCCAATGTATGGAAGAACATTACAGATAGTTCTCTAATTTTAGAATGGACTAAAGGATATAATATTCCCTTCGAAGAACAACCATATCAACGAACAGAACCCCCAGATATAACAAGTACATGTCAAATGACAACAGTGGACAATATTGTCCGCGAGTTACTTACCATTGGTGCGATATCGCATTCCAAACACGAAAACGGGGAGTTT